GCTTTTTAAGTTTTTTGTTTAAAGTGAATTGTTATTAATTGAATTTTGTTTGCATTTGCATGTGTGGTAGTAGCAATGAGTGTTGAACATAGTTACACAATGTATTGGTTCTAATACTTTCTCTGAATTTTGAGTAACACAAAAACAAGATGAATACCTATGCTAATAAATTAAATTTTTACTTTTTGTAAAACAAACCTATGCATTCAGAGAAGTTATGACATTAAATATTGTACAAGATAATCTTAATATGCTTGTCTATCAATGGTTCGTAACAATGAGGCTAATTGACATAAAATCCTGTAGGAATGTGAATAATTTATCTGTTGAAAACTTGAAACCATTTCTTTTGGCAACCAATAGTACCCAAAAAGAATTAACTAGGATTATAGTCTTTTAGTAAGAACACTTTTTACTCAATAACAAACATTTAAAAAGTTTTGCAATAAATCTTTTTATAAACTGTGCAATATTCTATAAACTGTGGTGGACTTCCGATTCATTCAATGTACTAGTAATAAGTGCTTGGCAAACAATATAGCCCAGGCAAATTAGCCCAAAAAATTACCAAATTAGCCCAGCTGTAGCTCCCAAAAATTGGGGAAAGCTGGAAATCGTTTTAATCTGATCTGGAGATCCTAAATAAGTTAAAAATGAGTTTGCGACGGATTCTGAAGTGAGTTAAGTGTATGAGAGGCAAAAACCAGGCTGATTTTATAACTCAAAAACTGTGCATCCCACAAAAAAACTGTTTACACACTTTTCTAAAGAACATTATATTCCGCGTTGAATTACGTTAAAATCAATAAAATTGGTTCAGTCGTTCTGCTACAACAGGTCGTCAAAGTTCAATTATTTTAACCGAAAACTATAGCATACACTGCCATCTGGCTGAACACGCTGTAATCATCAAGAATAGAATGACAAGGAGAATGTACAGAGTGGTTTTTAGTTGTTACTGTATTTGAAAGTTGGTCAACCATTTAAATCACTGTCTGGAAATAAATCCAATGCTTAGGGGTCAAACTTTTGAAGTCCTTTATAAAAATATCCTTTTTAATACCATCTTGCTTTGCGCTAGACCTTAAGCTTTAAAATGACACCTCAATCGTAAAAATCTGTGAAGTAGTTCGGGTGAACATGGGCTGTTACAGCTCATTGAATTAGAAAGATAGATAATGTTAAACAAGACAACCATATATCGCATGCTTGATACTAAATATTGGAGGGTAATGATTAACCGAAGAGCCGTTGATTATTCACATAAACCAATTAATTAAATCAACTACAACAATGAATCTTGGCCGATACGTAGCGCAGACGACCACGGGGGGTAGATACCCGGGGGTAGATGTCGGGGGGTAGATTTCCGGGGGTAAAATTCCGGTGTCAGGTTTATTGGTATTTTGATTTTACAACTGTTAAGTAAACAGAGAAATGTGAGTTGATTGAAATAAAAAATAATTTATCCGTCCTAAAAGTTTGGGGTCGCAAATCTACCCCCAGACACGTGACATCAAAATGACATAGGCGTTTTTTCATGGGGATAAATATCCAGGTGTAGAATTCCGGCGACCTAAAATTTTGAACGTTATGCCCCTTTTATTCTAAACAAAATGGAACCCCCATTGCTGTAAAAACTAGGGTTCAAAAAATATACCACAGTTACTCCCAAAGCTTGCCCATACAGGGTTGTTAACATTACCATTACCATTTTGAGATGGGGACGACACCTATGTGGGGGTTTTAACCGGTTTATGAATGAAGGATGAGTGTAGAACGGAGTGTGATGCCTTTTGTAGCTTTGTTACTAAGACCAGCTGTCCCAGTCGGGAACATTTATTGAATGCCCAATGGTCGAAGACAACTGGATCCAGTTTCGAACCATGAAAAAGCTACTTTTCTCAGGATCGAGCTGGTAACCTTTTTATTACTAGTGAGCACTATAACCACTAAGCTGCCGAGCTACATAATGAGAAAATGAATGTGTAAGATTGCTGATACAGTTTTTAAAAGCTATTAAGTTGCTGTTTTAAAATTTGCTGCTCCATTTCACACTAAAATTAGACAGATCAGTTACAACATTTAACGTTTATTTTTCTGTTGGGATATTTGAATTAGTTACATACTTTACTTTGAAAAATTATGTCTTTCTTTAAGAAATTACGTATTGTATATAATTTATATTTAGTATTTATACATTTCATGTATTTATATTTTCCTAAAGAGAGGTAGGCCTACTTGTCGATGTTATCAAATACATTTAAATTATTTTCAGGGTTCTCGTGAGAGTAGAGCAGGTTCACCTAATAGCCTCAAGAAAGTAGACTTTGACATGACGGCAACCACTAAACAAGGTAGGTCTCCACCTCGAACATTATCATCAAAATAGTAAAAAAAATTTAAGGGTTGTTTTCAAAAAAGTTTTGATGTTGTGATAATTTTTATTTCTGTTATTTACACTGCTGGCGTTTTTTTAATGTTTATCAACAGCCAATGGTTCAAACCATGGTCTTCCAGAAACAATCTCGCTTGAAATCGAAACAGTAACCTTCAGATTTTAAGGCAGCACTATACTACCACCTGACTGCCCAGAAATTGTATCCAAGAAAGAAGGAATGGATTCAAAACTAACTAAACTTGCCCAAGAAAAGAGTTACAGGCAGTTTGTAGCACACACATATTGTACAGCACTCAAGTTAATTTGAATTTCAGCAGAAAGGAATAGGGCAAAACATCAAAATAAAGTACTGTATTGTGACATTTTTGTGTGATATTTCCTGTCTGGAACTCTTTTCTTGGGCAAGTTAGATGTGTATCCATTCTTTCTCCCTTAATTTGACGAAATTAGTAAGAGGTGGAAAGTTGATATTGCAGTTAGTAAGATTAATTTGTTACCCGAGGCTAAAATAATTGAGTATACTGGGACTCGTCCCAGTATACTCAATCACTTTAATACAGTTACAATAATTAAAAAAATCTGCAAAGTATGCTGGTTTGTTGCAATGGATAAAACAATTTCAGTTTAAAATAATTTTCCAGATTTCTACGAATACAGAAGAAAGGTGAAAAGAGGAAAGTACCCTAAACCATTCGATGCAGACAAAAAGCCGTCACAAAGTGTCCTGAAAGACTCGACACCCAGTCCAATCCATCCTTTCTTCAAACGAGCTTGGAACATTAACTACTGGACCCCGGACGTCACTACTTCTGAACTCATAGAAAACATGGAGGGTATTGACCCTGACATGTAAAGCAAACAAGATTTGAACCTCATGGTTGAAATTTCCAACTAAAGAACCATCAATAACCTTACTTTAATACCCCTTCAAGGGTACTACACTGTGGTTTAACTTTTTTGATGTTTTGCTTCTGTTTTTGTTGTGTGTGCTTTGACATTTTATAATAATCATGCCTTAATTAAAGTTTTGAATATTCATCTGCTTTATGCTTGTACGAGTACAAAATTTGTTTACCAAAGTATGAAAAGTTCTAGTTAAAACTTAGATCAATCATCCATGTGGGATATGTAGTTTTGTGTGAAATTTAGTATACATAGGAATAAAGTATTCTTAAACTTTGATGAAATTAATGCCACCAGGATTTATACGACCGATGCCAAGTAGTACTAAATTGTACTCTAGCTTAGATATCCCCTCTTCCATGTTTTTATCAACAAGTTCAGACTAAAGTTTACTCTCCTGATAATTTGGTTGAATAGAGAACATAGAGAAATAGTTATTTTATTTGTTTAACTAGTGTGCGAAGAGGCACTTTGCTGCACACGAGAGAAATGTTTACGCACAAGCCGCAGGCGACTGGTTTCTCGAGTGCAGCAAAGGCACTTGGCGCTCGCGTTACACATTATAAAATACCTACCTTTGTATGGTCACCATTTCAAAGAAAAAAAAGTATTAAAAAGTATATTTTTCCTACAGTTACTATAAAGAATATAAATAATTAGTCTTTCAAACAATATACAACAAGTTTTTAGGTTAGGTTTAATCCAAGGTTGAAGAAAATGGGTAACGCTGCACCAGCTGATCGTAGTTGTAGTATCTTTAAGTGTTGCCAGCTTATTTTCAGACGTACACATATTATGTGCATTATAAAAGCACACTGTTTTGTGTTGTTTGGTTGAAATACTGGAGTGCGGCAAAAAAACCCAGGAATGTAATAAAAGAACATTTTCAAAACCTCTCATTTTTTAAATAATAAGTTAAAACATAAAGAGTCCTGGGAATCCGTAATGCTCTTTTCTCACTAATACAGTTTTTGCTGTCCGTTTGAAAACCGTACGGACAACTATTTTTAGTAGTGCCAAGAACGTGAGAGCTCTCACATTAGACAGTCCCGGCGATTGCAGAGAGCGTCCTGCAGTTGTCCACTGCCACTGAACCAAACGGTAGTCGTGCCAAGGCCGTCAGTGGCGCATGTAGTGATATGAGAGCTTGCACACTGCAAGTTTTAATCAGACAAGAGCCCGCCAGCTCTGGTCAATTGGACACTGTGTATTGTGACTGTTGTGTGTAGTAGTTCACCATTTTCAGAGTCTCATTTTTTATGTTGTTAGCTTTGTTAAGTAAAATAAAGGCAAAGTATTTATCAACCTAATTAAATTCAAAAGTTTTTATGGGACCAACTATGGAATCTTACAAAGATAGGGTTGTAAAAAGAACGTCTGGCAAAATTTGCAAATTTTTCAACAATCCAAACTCTTCTCGCCTTTAGGTTGTTGGATGCACCCATTGAAAAGGATCCCTTGTATGGCTTTTACATCGATGAAATTGTTTTAACTCCATAAGAAGTTTACAACGGTACATTGCTTGTTGGTGAACTGAAGATTTCAAATACATTTATCTCGCTGTACGGTCAGGAACCGTGAAAGAAAAATAGACACGGTTCATAAAATAGGTAAAATTATAGGTTGAAAGAAGCGGAACATTCTAAATAATTAACCATACTTTTAAGAAAAGGAGAAATAAGCCATTTCTTTTCTTGTTAAAATTTATTATTGGTACCTATGTACAAAATTTACACAGCAGCAACCACTCAGGAACTTTAAACAATTTATATGCCTAAATATAAAGCCTTCAATATAAAGTTTATTTAAAATACCCAGCTCAAGTTTAAATATTATTTCTAAACTGTTTCTTATTATATTAGTTTATGCTTTTATTTCCAACAAATAAAATTTTGTTTGCAGCTACTATTAAATAAATATATAGAACCAGATGGAAAACTTATATAATGAAAATAATTGACTAACTACTGTAGAACGTTGAATTATCTTTCCCGATATGTTTAACAATGTATTTTTATTATTAATAATTTTCCGACCAAAGGTATCTACCACAGTGAATTTCATTCATAAGTTTCTTGGAGTACAAATCGACTAAAATTACATTTAAGAATTATTTCACAAACTACCTAACACATCAAGATTTTTAAATTTTTACCTTATTCACAAAATAAAAATAGTACAAGTACACGGAATGTTATTAAATTTAGTCGCTCAATAAAACTGTCATTTCAACCTTAAAACATCTACTATTCCACAGAGATCTTTTGTGCAAATTTCAATAATGTAAATCCCACAGCACAAACTTTAATGGAGTAGCGATGAAGTTATTTATAAAATATTTACATGCAATACTGAAGGCGGCTGGTTCAATCCACGTTGTGTGAGAGAACTAGCCATGATATGACGAAGTAGAAGAGGAATATCGGGTAAACTGCAAGGCCCTTCCGCCCCACCGGCTGGCTTTCACCCAGGAATAATGTCGAGGCTGTAAAATACAACAATTGAGAGTAAGTGAAGAATGTTATAAAAATATTGAGGTTAAAGGGATATAATATAGAGAGAAACTATTGGAAGATATTATTGAGCAAGCTCAATTAAAAGAATTGTATAATGATCGCATGTAAGTGTTTATCGTATGTCAATTAGCCCCATACTCTAAAATTTTGTTCAAGTAAGCTGATATTTAAAGATGAAATTAACAAGTAAAAAGTTATATTAGTACAGTATTTCATGTGTTAGCCCACTTAAAGTTTAAATACGTTAAGATAAACTTCATTGAAATTTAATATTAGGATTCTAATGAAAACTAAAAAAAATCAAGGAAGTAAAACAAAAGGTGGAGAAATGAGGTGAACTTGATGTTAATTCTCTCTTGGAAAGAGGGGTCCGAGCACCTGCACTGATGAGGGGTGGATAATCATTGGACAAGCTTCGATCAAACACTTTATGATCAACCTTGTTGTAGATTACAACCATGCTTGGTCCCTGGCGGGTTAAATTTAACTAAATATACATATTGTGTTTACATAACCTTTGACTTTTAAGTTTTAGGTTATATTTCGCATCAAGCCTAACCAAACCCTTAATATGATTTGTACTTTTGTAGATATAGTAGGCCTAAATTATTTGAATAACAATAAAAAATAAACTAACATCATAAAATTTCTTAAAGGTTTATTGCAGACATTTTCTATCACAATGGTAAAAAACAATACACAATGTTTCACAATCTGGAATCTGATCCCGTCCTCAGGTGTAAACTTAACTAACACATTACAACTAACAATACACAAAAGCCCAACGTAAGTTGGAATACACTACAAAGAGAAGCATTCAGGTATAGCAGTTAAGCCGTGATCCAACATGCAAAAAGTAACCAATAAAAAAAAACAATAATAGCTTGTTTTGTTTTGTGATAAGTTATTTTTTGCATGTTGTACGATGACTTAACTGCTACTCTGTTGTGTATTCCTACTTAGGTTGGGCTTTTGTGTATTGTTATTTGTAATGTGTTAGTTGTTTTTTCACCTGAGAACGGGATCATATTCCAGATCCCGAAACGTTGTGTATTATTTTTTACCATTGTGATGGAAAATGTGTGCAGTAAACCTTTGAACATCATTAACTAACCATTACAAAAAATGAACTTCAAACAAAGAATAAAATTTAAATCTGAAAAAAACATCAATGGTAGGGGTATAACAAAATGGATGGCAATTTGTAATAATGTTGGACTAATACAAGTATTTTAGTAGTAAAGTATAATTCATACCGAAAGTGGCCCAAGCAAAGCCCATCATGGTGACCATGAAGCGCAACATGAAGAGGAAGTTGTTCTGTTCAGCTACCAATATAAGACGACACGCGATTAGGGCGATGGCTGTCGGCAACAAGCAGTAACCCAACACACACACGCTCTGGAAGAAGGATCTGAAACAGAAGTGCAACAAAGTAGTGAAATTGTCTAGCTTGTGTAAGCTTTTAGCTACACAGAAAAACTGTAAATTAAGTCCACGTGGGACCAACAAGAAGATGCCAAATACAAGATTACCAATACTACAGCAAATGGAAATCTGAGGACACTCAGTGTCCATCCAATAGTGTTAATGTGTGTTGTGAGTTGGTTCCTTCTTCAAGCCAATAAAACATAAAAGCCCTCTGGAATGAAGTATTGTGTGTTTTAGGTGTCTTATGTGTGTTCCATGGCCTTCCTGTACTTCTTCCAAGGTAGGTTAGCTACTCTCCCCTTTATTCTACAATTTAACATCTGTATAGCATTCCTCTGGATACAACAGGAAGCATTCAAATTGTTGAACAACCATGCCTTTATGATATGTACTGGAAGGACCTTCATACGACTACCACTATGATTCTCAGGTTGAAATGTTATAGACCTGTATTATCCACAAATCCCGTTTAGTACTAATTTAGGTTTGAACTGAGATACCCAAAAATACAAGTTAAAAGGTTAAGTAAACCCAATTCATGTAGTGAATTAAATTTGGCCCCGTCATGGTCCAAGCGAACCTCTTATCACTATCAGTAACCAATAAGATAGCCAAGTAGGGTACACATGCAATAACTAAATTCCTAGCTAACACAATTCCAGTGTTTCTTTTCATATACGTCATAATAGGGATTGTATATTAATCTCTTATAATTTGTATGATGAATAGAATGTATACATACAAACCATACAGCAATAGTCTTATAACATAAAAAGTCCTTACATTGTTAATCTTAAGTTTGTTCTATTCACAAGTCACTCACATATTCCCACCAAGAAGTTTGGAGTTGAGTGTAACGACCATTGCTCCGATCCAAACAATGACAAACACTTCAGCAAACTCCGGCCCTCCATCTGATTCTGATGATGAAGAATCTCCTTGCAGAAACCTGGAATGGAATGGAGTCAAGTCACAAAAACCTTTAAAATATTAATGAAATACTAATACTTAGCCAATTAAATAAAAGGTTAAAATAGCTGACTGTCGCCTTGTGGTCCAATCTGGTCCAACTGTATAATGCACATTTCGGCGCAAACGCCATCGTCAGTTCCACTGTATAAGATCCACTAATCTTGCCTGAAGATGTTCACAAACGAAACACAAAAACATAAAAAACACTAGTGGACTAATTATTTAAATCTATGCCTAATATGGTTTATCTTTCACGATGTGTGTTCGGGCAGGGCGATAGGGAGGCGTGCCGGATATGTGTCGAGACTTGACTGAAGACAGGAGTTGGTCGTAATCTGTTCTGATTAAGAGGCGAGTGCAGCATTGTTTGGGATATTGTCTAACTTTATTGGTTTCAAAAAGAATATTGGACTGCAGGGTGTTTTTGTCATTGGCCATAAAAACAGAATTTCCCAATTTATCTTCAAATTATTTGGTAGATCTTAAAAAAACCAAATAATTTAGTATTCTTAAGTGTTTTTGTACTGTTATTAGGTACAGGAAAAATTAAATAAATTGTAAATTTAAAATTACCATGCTATTCTTACGGAGAAAAAGTAAATTTGTGTAGTTTGCTTGTTGTTCAGTATTCATAAGTAGGCCAGCTGATCATTGTGTGAGAGAGAGAGTATATTGCAAAATCCCCACATGGCCCCAACAATACAACAATTAAATGAATAAATGTAAACAATTCCTTCTTAAAAACGGTGCTTTTACCTTCTTAATATCATTTTGTACAGAAATTTTATTCTTTTACCTAACCCGCCATGTTAAACTTCCCTATCCCAAGCGTGATGTATACAACTTCCTTACTTCTCGAGTGATGTAAAGTATCAAAAACTCACTCGGTGATGTAAAGAAACCCATTTAAATAACATTGACTGCTTAACTTAAAAAATATACCTCTATGGAGCCAACGACGTTCAACGCTAGTAATCAGCTGTGCGCTTGAATGTTATTGTTATGCTTTAAAGTATTTTCCTAACCTAGCTTTTGTTTTTAAAAGAACGTTACTGTTAGAAGATAAGTGAAATGGATAATGAAAAATATTGTACATAATCCCATGTATATTGTCGGATTAGGTAAAATCTTGTACGTTACACGTTACGCAAGAGCGTGTTTACATCACTTAGGTGAATTTCACTTGCGTGATGTAAAAACGCTCTTACTACACTTGTAATGTAAATAGCTATTCTCCTCTTATTTTGCTTCATTCAATTAACTCTTTTTTGTACTTGTCTAACCTATAACCCCTTTAATTTGAATTTAAATTGTGTATGTGTGATACTTTGAACTCTAAAAACTGTTGTTTGACGAAGCTATCTTTTCATCAGAAGAAACGTATGGCCATACTCAAATATACTCTACCAGACCTTCCAGAACTTCATGTGTGGTAATAGAAACTTAATTGTACCTCAATCAAAACCAAAAGTCCATAATATTTGTAAACAAGATTAAACTCGATATCCCATCATACAGTCCACTTTTTTAGTAAAAAAGCCTTCTTAGACATCCGCTACACTTGTTTAAAGATAAATTTTGATCCAACTAGGCAAATTTATTTATTTTATGATAGTTATGCTATTTACAGTTTACTAAATAAATATACACACTCTATTACCATCTCTGTAGCATTAAACCTAAGTACTCATTAAACACATTTTTAAAATAGGGAATAAATCTGACATGTTCAAGGAAATATTTAAGTGAAAATGTGGATTTTCATCATGCAAATGGAAATTCGCTTCGACAACGATTGGTTGGATTGGACAACGATTAGATGATTGGTTTGCTGCGGCGGGGATTTTTTTTCTTTAATTTGATATGATTTCTTCAAAACTAAATTGAGTTTATTATGTAATTATTATAAGTTAATCTAAGTTAGCTGCTTTACTTGTCAGGACCATTTATTGAAAGCACAATGATCTAGGACAGCTGGGTCCAGTTTCAAACCATCAAAAAGTCACACAATTTGAAAAAGCTTTAAAACAGGTCAAGTTGGCGACCTTTTTGATTACTGTACTAGGTTGATTACTAGCACTATAACCACTGTGCTACCCAGCTGTTTTACAATAGTAAAAAATAGTACCAAAAAAGCGTAGTAAAACAAAATATTTTTTTGGATAGCTAGTATTGCAGGAGTTGCAAGGTGGACGTGGAATGGATTACTTACTTAGGCTACTTAGTTAGTCTTGGAGTAATGATGAGAACTACTAGACTATATGGTTGTTTTTTTTTTTTTACTTACATAGCTAAAAAGGTGCAGAGCAAAAGTGGACCCCAGAGATCCCCTAAAACAACAATAATCTATATTATTAATACGCTACATGACACTTTGTAAACAATAAGGCTTTTTTGTTTTAAGATTTAACCCTACATAATGCATACCAAGGTGTGTAGATTTGCAAACTGACCATATTTTAGAAAAAATCCCTTGGGCTTATAAAGTTCCCATGTTATTCTTATAAAGAACATATCTGTTTACATTATATTATGATCAGCTGGATAATTTAATTTCTGTTAATATTTTAGTTGCAATAGGAAAGGTGTGCTACAAACATTTACTGACTTGGTTGAAATGAAATATTTACTACTTGAATTTGGGTTGGCGTAAATATTACGATAGAAAAAAGCGAGAAAGCCTGGACAATTTACATACTAAAAAGAAAACTGAATTAACACTGTGCTGCATTTCTTGAGCAATCATTGAAAGAGTCGATTTGCAAACTATGGAAACATAGAAAAGTCATAGAACATCACCAAGAAGTATAAGAAATAGAAATAATGTTTTTTTTAGAATTTATAATTGTTATTATGGACAACCTGATGCGGGGCTATGAGTACAATGAACATTTGTAGGAAACACTAAAAAACAAGATCAGCTAAGATATTTGCAAGAAATGTTGATTATATTGAACTGTTAGGCCCCCCATACAGGTAACGATCGATCGGACGGCCGATCGTTACATGTATGGGGTAGTCGTCCAGCCGCCGGCCGACCAAATTGGCCGGACGACGACTGATGTGAATCCCATCAGACCTTCAGGCCGATCGGTACGTGTATGGGGGGCCTTATAAACATGGTGAGTATTTCCATAATCTTTGAGTCGACTCTTTTAAAGTCATTGGAAACTATGACTGTCATTAGTTTAAAAATATTGCCTGTAATACTTCGCAATTGCTCGAATTTGAGCAATAGGTATACTAGATATGTAAATAGTCAGACAACATCTTCTAGTCTAGCTTTGAAATATATCCATACATGGTTTCCAGTAAGTAAACAGCCAAACTCCAGGAATTACTATAGGTATAATGAGTATTTTGTAGGCTAAAGGGCAGCAAGAGAATGTGGGTCAGTAAATTTCTCTGTGGACGTATGAATAAATCCCAGTAGTTAATTTGCCCTGTTTACAATATTGGAAAAATGCTCCTCTGGACTTAGGGTTGGTATAATAATGATCCCAAGATCCTTTACCTTATTCACTTCACTAGTTTTCAGTCATCAATACATAGTACAGTATTCAAAATCACAGTTTGTAGTCCCACGATTAAATAACATGACTTGGCACTTGGGAATGCATTAGGCCTACTTTTATAACAGATAACAATGCCGCAAGGGAGTTTTGGAAGTTTACATACTCATCCATATATCTGATTCTTGAGAAGGTCAAGAAATAATTTGCTGGGTATATCTTATACCTAGGTATAAGTAGTTTTTTTTTACTGTCTTAGATTTTGCATGTATCCTTATTGTATTGTTTTGCATTGTTACTTAGTTTTAGTATTTAGTCATGATGAGTAAGTCACTATATTGCAATTCATTATTGTAAATTGGTGAAATCCGTTGGCAATAAATAAATAAATAAATTTGCGAATGTGAGGAACTTCGAGGATATAGCAATGCTGATGTCATTAATAAATCAATTGAATAATAAAGGTCCCAAGAGTAAACCTTGGGTGATACCTGATGGCACTGCAAAAAGGGTTAGATAGAGCTCTGTCACAATTAACAATAAGTACCCTAATCTATCACACAGGTAAATCTCAAGCCAGTTTCCCAGCAACTCCCCATAGATAGATAGATAGATAGATAGATAGTTAGATAGTTAGATTTAATTGATCATTAATTAAACATTATACATAGAATGCAATAGATCATGTCAATAAATATCCATATCGAGTAAAATTGGCAAACAAAAGGCGATGATATACTTTGACAAAAGCTTTAGCAAAGTCCAGGTAGACACAATCCACCTGGTCAGCTTTGGTGAATGCTGTGTTTATGGATGACTGGAGATGGCCAATAGAATCAATTAGATGCAGGTTATGTAAGCTTGGTAATATGCATTTTGATGATAAGTCTTTTTTTGTTTTGTAGATTGTCGTTAAATAAGTTAGTTAGAAAATAAACTATTCTATATCATGCAATTTGTATTTGAGTGAAAATTTAAAAACGTACGTTTTCATGTCCCTGGCCTTTTACTTCGTAGATACTGGATTTGTAGTTTATTATTATGTGTTTTAATATTTTTTGGGACGGGGGCAACATGTTACACACATTTATTTGGTTTTAAATAGGTTCTAGGTATTTTTTTCGTATTTTTAAAGTCTCTAAATTCACGACCATGACGTGTCCCTAAGGTACGTTTTCCAACTTTCACGCTGTTTTTAGACTAATTATTCATGCCGAAATATATAAAGCCATATTTTTATGTCATCAATGGTTATTAAACTTACAAAAAAGGAGCATATTATAATTTTATTGTCATTGTAGACTGACTACCATGACAAAAAAAGTCTGTCCCTCGATTTGGCGTCACGACCATTTGGGAAAAATTTTCAACTTTGGAGCACGACAGTGGCAAGCCTGGCGTCGATGAAGTCAGTTGGTTTTAAAGACTAGTTCGGGGTGTACGTCAAGATTGTAGTGCCGGTCGTTTTGAGTTGAAAGGAGGAATTACAAGATTAATAAAGGAAAGATTGTGTTTTTTGTAATTTTGGTGTGTCCATGACCGTACGTAGTCATTCGATGAAGTAGACATGGTGTTAATTTTTGTTTATAAGATATTTCAATAGCTATATTAACCTAGAAGTCCACTTTGTATCCTCGAACATGAGGTGCAGGGCTACCACCAGAACAGAGCCAAATAACACGTAATTTCACGACCAAAGTTTCACGACCATCGCGGTTTTTTTCACGACCAATCCAGCCTTATGGATTATAGTGTGTTTGGTCGTGACAATAACTTTAATATAATTGTAAATTGAACAGTTTAGTTAAATTGAAACACATAGTTTTATTATAACTAACAGTATAATTGAAGGATTGTTTAGAAAGATTTAGATTATTCCAGACAATTCACGACCGTACCGCTTGTCCCTGACCATCACGTTTATGATTTCTATCATAAAAATTTCAAAAATTAAAATATCGTCATATTTCAATGTTTTATACACAAAAGAAGCACACCTCTATACAAACATAACGATTTTTCGGGTCTCAGGTATGTTTTTTCGGAGTTATACAAACTTAAAAAGATTTTATTGGCTTTTATCTATTTTTTGAGTTTTTTAAATTTTTTTCTAGAAAGATCAAATATACCAAAAGCTTAGTGACCTTTTTATTGTATAATGGTCATAAAAGTAAATTAGTTTATAGCAAAACATAGTTATAAAAATAATATTAACTATTTTTAATATTCATTTAAACGTCTGTTATGGTCGTGACAGGATTTTGTGTTTTTCTACTAAAGATGCTCTTTAAAAAGAAAACTACCAAAGATATTGCGTTACCATGGACATTTTATGAAACTTCAAATGTTAATGAAATAAAAATAATAATAAAAGTTTTGAAAAAAGGGGGAAAAAATTTGCAAAGTGCTTTTCCTGAAAACGTACGTTTTTAAATTTTCACTCATTTCGGCCGAAGCTTCCCTTTTTTTCTATTTTTTTATATAGGTAAATGCATTCTTCCTTCTGGTTTGTTATTGAGCAGGCCTACCTAATTACTACTTTAAATGTTATTACGGTTGTTTGTTACTAGTATAATGCTACTACTACTTATCCCTTCAGAAGTTAAAGGCTTGCAATACTTACATTCTTTGAGTAAACTTTTCTTTTCAACAGGATACAATACATTTTTGAATTTTGCACCAACTGCTTTGAGATCTCTTAACTGAAAAAATAAAACAAAATAAATCATCTAGGAATAAGTTACAGTAGGATTTATTATTTGTCTAATAATAATAAATAGTAAGCCTTAAGATTTTAAGTAGGTAGGGCCTATAAGACAAAAGTATCAACAAACTGACTTTCTCCAATTAGCTTTACATCAGGCCTATAGTTGAAAACCCTAAACTTACTATTAATAGGAGCACAAAGTTAAAATATATATATATACAATAACAGTACCGTACTGTGTAAATGGAGGGGGGTACTTTCCTGTTAAAGAGAACATTCATTATTATCGATGGTTTTTTTCTCGATATATCGATATTAACAAATTGAAACATATCAGCTGACAACTAAGATAAATATTGTTCAGTATCAACAAACAATAATAAAATGAAACTGTTTTAAAAAAATAACCTATCATAACTAACCAAACTTGCTGTAACATTTAAAAATTCCGTGTTTAACTTGCCTTTTCTGTTATCAAACGGTTAGCTTAGAACAGTTTCATTTCTTAATCCATATATAGACTGTTTTAGCCTAAACAAGATCAGTAGTTAGTTGTTGTCAATTTGTAATGGATCGGAAAACAAAAATATCGATATATAAAAAAAATCATCGATAACAATGAATGTTCCCTTTAACAGGAAAGTACCTGGAGGGGTAACTAAAAAGAGCTGAAAAAGATGTGACAGCAAGTAAAGGTAATCAAAAACGGAGAATGATCGATATCTTTAAATCATTAGGTACCATACTAAAAAATAAACCCTAATAAAATCTACCCAAATGGTCAGTAGCTAAGCATTTTGATGAAGTTTTATGGATTTTTTAGGGAAAATGACTAAAATTGTAATAATTTTTTAATCATACTTTTACAGTGTTAGGGGTTAAGCCTTATTGTTCAGGGTTAAAAGGACTGTTTAACAGAAGTAAGAAGTTAGTACCTAAGTACATACTTAGAAAGAAACATTTTTCAAAGTTAGTAACATACTTAAATTGCAATAAAAAATGTTGCAGCTGTATTATACCTAAGCCAACCATACATAAGGAAACAAAAAGACTTACCACTGTGACACTAATCGGCTCATCAAGGGTGTTGAAGTCAGGCTCACCTATCGCTTGTGCTTTATTCGAACTTGGAACATTCATGCTCCCTTCAACGGGACCCTCATGAAATTCTTCATAGAGCTAAACAAATTCTGAATTAATTTACATTAAGAGGAAAAGACACTTCATGTTATGTTATATTAGGATAACTCATTAGGTTGACGGTGAAAAATAATAAAGATCGCTGGTTAGGTGTATGATAAAGTGTTTTAACGGACACATTTTGAATAATAGTGTGATATAGCTTAGGGGTAAATCAAAGAAACGTTACAAAAGAATAATATGGAAGAGTTAGCCTATGTGTAAAACATTTTATTGATTAGGCGTATCCTTCACTGATAATAATAATTTTGGATGATACTTTAATTTTAATGTTGGTTGTGTTAAGTAAACGGTTTCAATACATAAGTTACAGTAGGTCTATTGCTAAAAAGTATGTAGCCTAATGAGAGAGAGAGAGAGAGAGACAGAGAGAGAGAGAGAGATCTTTATTAACAATCTTCAAGATTGTAATAGTGTCAGAGAATTACAGTAGTATACATTAGTGGAATAAAGTCTTTGGAATTGGGAAATTTCAGATTTTCTAATTTCAGCTGTTCCTCCACTCAATAAACTCGTTGATGCTGTAGAAAGGGTGATTCAGCAACCACTCGTTCAGCAATAATTCTCCAATAAGTAAACGTTCACCACAGTAAGTATGTGCCACTGCTTAAAAGGTACTCGACAGCTCTCCTTCCAACTCAGGCCCGCCATTATCCTCAGTGCTATCTTCTGCAGGATCAGCACACGTTTGATGTTGGTGAGGGAGGTGCTACCCCAGAGCTGAATCCCATATCTCAGACGACTCTCAAAGAGGGCGTGGTATGAGATTTTAAGAGCTGCCACTGTGCTAACAGTCTTAATGCGCCGTAGAGCGAAAATTGCAGTACTCAGCCTCATGCAAAGTTCGTCCACGTGGTCAGCCAGCTGTCCAAGATCAAGCCAAGATGTTTGGTTGTGTCACTGGTCTGGATGCCCGGATACCCCATGATCTCGTTCTTCTTGTTGCCAAAATTCACCTGGTTGGTTTTTCCTTCATTGAAGACTAGGTCATTCATACTGCAGTATTCAACCGCCAAGTTTAGCGCAATGTAGGATTTCACTTCCAGATTGTCTGTAGTTTTGCTTGAGGCAAGCAACACAGTATCATCAGCATACATGATTGCTCTGCTGTATGGGTTGATGTATGAAGGAAGGTCATAAGTAAACAGTATGAATATCACCGGGCCCAAAACAGAGCCTTGAGGTATGCCTCTTGTAACAGGAAGTAGTTGTGACCTGTATGTGGCAATTTTCCCATTCTCCTTTTGCCTAAGCTCGACAAGCTGATTCCGGCCCACCAGATAGCTCTGGAACCAATCTCTAGCCATGCCCTGAAAACCCAGTTCTTCGAGCTTGGTAAGAATAAGTTGGTGGCTGAGGCAGTCGAAGGCCTTGCTCAAATCGAGGTACAGACTAGTTAAATTCTCGCCCTCTTCAAGTTTGTCCACGATCAGTTCAATCAGCTCGACTAAGGCTGTGATGGTAGATTTATTTTTTTGGAAGCCATGTTGTCCACTAAGATTTATCTTGTTGTTTTCCAGGTGATTTATGATTCTCGTCAGAACGACCTTCTCAATGATTTTTGAGAATGTAGACACCAAGGAGATAGGTCTAAAGTTCCCCAACGAATGCTTGCTCCCTTTCTTGTGTAATGGAATCACTTTTAACGTTTTCATCTTGCTTGGAAAGGTGCCCTGAGACATACTTAGATTGGCTATGTAAAGCAGCGGCGTTAGCAATTCCTGCCGGCAGTGTTTGACCATAACGGAGGAAAATTCATCCAGGCCCGATGAAGTCTTGTTGTTTAGTCTTCTGATGGTGTCGAGTAATTCCTGGTCAGATGTAGGCGCCAACACTGTCATTGGAGATGTGACAACACGCTCGGCCTGTTTGCTGCGGGCTTTCGTCTGGTCTTGAATGTTCTTTAGGGTCTCATCAGCAATTGTTGTGAAGTATGCATTGAAGCTGCCAGCAAGTTCAGTAGGATCTTCCACTTTTGCATTATTTATTACCAGATATGACAGGGTGTCAGGATCTCGTTGTTTGGTCTTTCTTTCACTGTTGATCACATTCCAGATAGCCTTCGATTTTATTGAAGACTCGGAGATGAATTTAGCTGTTCGCTTCTCGTCTCAGTGCTCTCAACTTAAGGTCATAGTCCTTCTTTAACTTATTGGTTAATAGTTTGTCTTCCTCTTTTCCACTAAGGACGTAGCGGCTATGAGCTTTGATGAACTTTTCCTTAATTGATTTGACTTCATCATCGTAGACATGGGTTAAAGGGTTTCGCCTCTTTTCACGGAAAGCCTTTCAGGGACACGTGGCATCAATAACTGAAGTGACAATCGTGATGAAACTATCATAAGCATCCTCTACGGTCCTGCTTTCTAGAACTGTCTTCCAGTCTTGATTTGATAATTGTAGCTTCATGTCGTCAAGATTTTGAGATTTAAGGGTTTGGCAAGTGTATGTGCAAGGCATCTTGCGATATGTGCCCAGATTCAGGCTGCATAATTGTCCTGTGTGATCCGAAATGCCAGTATTTATCACTTCAACCGCCACTTCTTTCTCAAAACAAGTTGTTATGCAACAAATGTCAATCGAAGTAGAAGAATAGTAGTGATTCTCGTTGGAGGAAGTTCGATTCGATGTATATTAAACGTTGATAGAAGTTCGTTTAGCTGATTTCTTTTGGATGATGCAGCCAGGCAGTCGACATTGAAGTCACCCATGATGATAATGATGTTGTTCTGGGTCACCCAAGGGTGTATGATGGTTGAAAGTGTGTCCAGAGACAGTTTGAAAGATTCGTTATCATTGCCTGGGGGGCGGTAAACTCCAAGCACAAATAAGTTTGATTTTTTGTTCAGTTTTATCACAATTGCTGAGACTTCTATGATTAAAGGGATGCTTGAGGATTCTAAATTTAGTACTTCTATCTCATTTTCAAGATCCTTGTGCTTGTAGATGGCCACAACCACCTTTCCTGGCATTATTCCTGCAGAAGGCTGACAACAAACTGTAATCACCTAGACGAGTATTCTTCATGCGCTCGTCATTTTGGCCATGTTCTGTGATGATGACGATATCCGGAGTGTCTGAGTGGAGAAAGTGATTAAATCGTTCTATTTTGTTGCCTATGCAGTCTGCGTTCTGGTGGAAGATAGTTAATCTTTTTGAGATTTTATTATTGTCCGTGAGCCTTGTCTTTTTCTTGTACTCATCTTCCACTTTTCTCGTGTTTTCAGAGGTTCTTCTAAAAAAGACAGTTGAGTTCCTAATGTATTACTGACTGTAGATGGGAGATCGGCTGCTGCCTCGTCTAAGCTATTTCTGTTGTTTCTTTTTATTACTTCTCCATCAGCAAAGCTGGGGGGATATGTCGATAGATCATTATTCTGTTGTTTACCAAGCTGAATAATAATCTTGGTTTCTAAGAAAATCCTGGATATTGTTGTTGAAGAAGTCCTTATAGGTTTCTCCACTCTGCAAAAGTTTGGCAGTGTGAGGCGGCATTCGTTGTACTTTTTTGTTTGTTGGGGTTGGCAAGTTTGAAGTGGGTATATGAGAACACTTAGCTTCCTTTATCTTCTCTGGAACAGACAAAGCTGAGTTGACTTCTAGATTTGCTATCCTTTTTTCTAACATTTTGTAATAGTTAGATAAGTTGTTTATGTTTTTGCTGATCAAAGATATTTCATTTGGAACATCTTGTGGATTGGAGTTTGGCGAATCAATAGTATGGTCCCTTTTTTTAGGCGTATCATCCCTTGTAGTCTCGTCTCTCGTGTGTGTCCTGTTTGCAAATAGCCCTTTTGAGTTGTATGATTTCTCTTTCATGTTTGTCAATTACTTTTAACTGTTCAAAATCGTGCTCTTCATAGTATTGGGTTTTCTTTATCATTTCTTCTCGTATCCTGTCACTCTGCTTGTTGATCTCCTCTATAATGTTAAGAAGTTCTTGAACTCGGGTGTGCAAGCGAAAATTTTGGGATTGGAGATCTTCTATTTCTATGTCCTTAGTTAAAATACAATTTTTGTATGAAATAATATCTGATTTCAAATGTTGGTTTTCTTCAAGTAAAGCTTTACCAATCTCGCCTGCCATCCTCAAAGAATAGGTGTTGTCAGTTTCATCTGCTAAGTTATCCACTTGACTAAGTTCCAACTTCAATGCGTCTAGAGATCTGTCTGACAATTTAGGAAGAGAATATGAGAGTTTATTTAAGGTTCTCAATTCACCACCAATTTGGGGTGAAGTCAAGTCTACTTTCATATTTTCCGGGATTTCACAATGTGGACAGAGCCATATTTCATATCCCTTTTCACCATTGGTGATTTTCTCATAGTGGTCTAACATCATGCCAAGGCAGTCCCGGTGGTACCATGTGTTACAACCACCCTCACATAGTATGGCCTCTTCATGTTCGTGAACAAATTTGTCACATAGCGGACAGGTAGTTATTTCGGTTTTACCCATTGTGAATTTAATATCAGTTGATTGGCTAACAATCAATGGAGTACTAACTCTTAGTTTATTCCTGATGCAATCCAATTTAGCTTGTTCCAATGATACTTATATTTCATATAGTACATGAAATAGGAATGATGTCAAGATCAAGAAGGCAGTGGTGCTTGGAAAAAAAGTCAGCGACGAAGTTGGAGGGAGCGTCTGCTTTTTGCGGGAATGAGCTTGCAGGAAGAGGAAGACATAAGTTAGTTTCTCATTTGGAGGTTATGTTTGTTCATTTGGGTGGGCTGGAGATCAGGCTTGTTAGAGGGTTTTAAAATTGTGTGAGTTATATTATTTTCAACATTTACTGAAACTCACGTGAGTCCAAAATGATCATAGTGAAGACATGGATCGGTAAAATAATATAAAAACCATTCTCAGCATAGACGTATCATAGGACCCTCAGACGCCCGCCAGTTTTCGCTCCACTCATTATAAATTCTGTTTGTTTGTAATGTTTGTCTGTAATGTTTGTCTACTTGTACTTTAAACGGTAGGCCAACAGTAGTTATGGTTAGAATGCTGCAAGCAGTTTACCTATTCCATGAAAAACGTAACAGAAGAATATATGTAATGGATTTTTACAAATGTTAACTAAGTTAACCATTGTAACTTATGCAAAGAAGATTTTAAGTGATCGTTGCATCAACTACTATTTCAACAGCACAATTAGGGCCAAGTAGGCCTACCGTAAACAATAACCTTATCTTTTTATTATACGAATCAGTGGCGTCATTTCACCAAATCTATGGGGAGGGCAAACCCTGGGGCCCCTATGAAATAACCCCACCAAAGAGGTTGGTCTGGGCCCTCGCATGAAAAATTTAGCAGTTTTGAAACAAAAAAAAGTTTTAAGCCTATTTTGAAATGTACAAGAAAGGAAAATTATGAAAAAAATATTTAGGGTAATAAGTTAGGCCAATCAATGATCTGATCATAGGTGGTAGGAATAAGTTACAGTTTGAATTAGGTAACTTACGGTGTATGTTCAAATATGTAAGTTTAAGTACGAGCTTATCCCATTTGAAATTGTTTAAAGAACGATCTACTTAAAAAGATAACTTACATCCAGTTTAGTTGTTCCATCTGATGTCATCTTTATGAGAAGTGTATGAAATTGAAATTACTTGTTGAAATTTATACCTTTTTTCGGAAAGTATTATTTTAAGCTATTGCTACCAAAAAATGTTGCAACCAAGGGTAAGCCACAAGTCAGAAGTAAGGAGTTTAATAACTTAATTTTCAATTTCAATGCAAAATAATTCAACGACATAGCCTAAAACTATACTTAGGTAAAGTTGTTGGCAGGCAGAGCAGACCGAAAATGTTGCCAGATTCAGACAACGACAACACATTATTTCTGACAACCTATGTATGAACAGTGAACACCAAACAGCTGTACGAGGTACATTATTAAGGCGTGATGGAAAATTAGCTGATCGTTGTGGGCAAGCATTGATTAAAGAACATGGCAGAACAGTAGAACAGAATACAGAATACTTTATTCATGAGCGTCAAGTACAGAATGTTGTCAATACAAATGTTTATTTTTCTTTCTTTTATTTTTATGATAAGCTTTTTAGTCCAATCGTAGATGGGGTCTTGCCACGGCCACCTTTAACTCCAGGCCGCGGCCTGGTAGAATTGGCAACGTTGCAAGTGGTGTTGTCTAGCGCCAGACATCCCATAAGATAACATGGCAGACAGGTGACACCAGCTCAATAATTTGCGTATTATTCATTTAAATTTAAATTTATGAACATGATATTATTTATATTGAAAATAAAACATATAGAATTGAGAACCAGAACAATATTTAAATTGAAAATCTATTTTTGTACATTTAAAGTGAATTCAACATTTTCATAGCCCAGTAACCAAGCTTTTCGTATTCTCAAAATGTGTACACAAAAACCATTAGCTGCCTCCAAAAACAGCTGTTACAACCCTACTTGAAATGTTGCCCCTTCAAAGGCCACAGCCTGGAGTTAAAGGGTGGTCCGTGGACCGTGGTCTTGGTCTTGCACGGGTCGTAAACTTCAAGGCTCATTTGCTCAAGATATTAAATATAAATAAACAATAACAATAAGCAATACAATAGTTAACAACAGTAATAGCAATAAATAATAATAATAAGGTAATAAGTTGGTAATACATTTTTTTTCCTTTTAGTTGAAAAAAATTCAAATGGTTTTTGGTCCTATACAGGTAGGTTAGTCAATATACAAAATTCACCTCCTCAGCGTTGTAGGTGAACCCTCTTTGAGAATCTGGGGAAGCAGGTTGAAGAGCCTCGCTCCAGCATACGAAGGTTTCTTCGATAAGAATGATGTTCTGTGGGAGGGCAGATGGAAATCCTCGTTGCGCCTCGTGTTATATCTGTGGAAGGCAGCATGCTTCGGTGAAGAGACCTTATTTAGGCCCCGGGTACGATACGAGCGGCGAGCGGCATGAGCGGCGCCGCTCTGACATATCGGGTCTCATTTAGTTGCGTGTAAACTTGTTGAGGGTGGCCAAGATACGTCTGAGCGGCGAGCAGCGATAAGCGGTACCGCTCAGCGCCGCTCATGGTTCCAAGTCAAAACCGATTTTCGCGAAAACGCCGTTCGCTGCTCAAGGGGTTCATGCTTCAGTTCGGCCTAAAATGACAGGGAAACAGCAGCAAACATACAATACGGGTCGATACGTGAGGTGCAGTCCAGGGAATGTTTGTGGAATGACCAGCACGGAAGGTTTAAAACACTTTAGTTACCAGAAAAGTATGGGACCTGAAGGTTTTTCTAAAAAACCAACTTTTTCTTTAAAGGCAAACAAATTGTCAGATAGCAACAATAGTTGCAATACGTATTGCAGGTATAATCATAGTTTACTATTTTCAACTAAACTGACTCATAAAACTGGGGAAATTTTATGAATGTTATAAATGTGCCGCTTGTATCGTGTAGCCACCACCGCAGCTTACGTGCCGCTCAGGTTGCCGCTCGCCGCTTGCCACTCGTATCGTACCCGAGGTCTTATTGTGTGAGAATTTGCCTCCAAGATGTAGATCGAGAGTGAGGTAATTATTATGCGTAAGCTACGGAAGGTTTTTCTGCAGCGTTTTCTTGGTTGAAGACCGACCATTATCCGCATTGCTTCCTTCTGGAGCACCCGGCACCAAAACTCGTTGCAGGTTTTCTTGTGATGACCCACCGCAAAAGATGATCCCGTACCTGAGGTGGAATTCAAACAAAGCGTGGTAGTATGTTCGTGTTGATACATGATTTCACGAGATAAATCGTTTGATAATGATACACATATTTCTTACAATTGAGTAGGTATTTTTGATAGTTCTTAATTAGGCTCAACTGCTCTTGAGCTCTTAATAAATTTGTCCTGACTAAATAACTACTGGAGATCTCAGTTAGTAAAAAACAAAGCTAGCAACACAGATCATTGTATTACTCCATTCTATCCACTGCCCCCTTTAACTACAGGCCGCGGCCTTCGAAGTGGTAACGTCGCAAGTAGGGTTGTAACAGCTGTTTTGTTTGGAAGCAGCTAATGGTATTTGTGTATTTACGAAAGCTTGGTTACTGGACTATGACAATATTGACTCCGCTTTAAATTTACAGATATATATTTTCAATTCATATTGTTTGGTTTTCAATTCTGTATGTTTTATTTTCAATATTTTAATACATTTATGTTCATGAATTTAAAATTACCTCAATAAAGTGCAGACTCTGACACTAAACAATCCTACTTGCAACGTTGCCTCATTAACAAAATAAAAATGTAAAACACATATATTTTACCTTAAACATCTATACCAATAATAGTATTTAATAGTATTTTAAATTCCAATCAAAAACTTGAGATTTTAAGAATTTATTTAGTATTACAGTACCATAGATAAAACATACTCCCATAAGTATTACCATACACTAACCTATGTTTGGCCTTCGAAGTGGCAACGTTGCAAGTAGAGTTGTAACACGGCCACCTTTAACTCCAGGCCGCGGCCTTCGAATTGGCAACGTTGCTAGTGGTGTTGTAACAGCTGTTTAGTTTGGCAACAGCTAATGGTATTTGTGTATTTACGAAAGCTTGGTTGTTGGACTATGACAATATTGACTCCCCCTTAAAAGTACAAAATTGCTTTTTAATTTAAACAATGCTTTTGTTTTCAATTCTATATGTTTTATTTTCGATCTTTCAATAAATTTTAATTTTAAATTAATAATACGCGAAATAATGAGCTGGTGTCACCTGTCCGCCATGCTATCTAATGGGATGTCTGGCGCTAGACAACACCACTTGCAACGTTGCCAATTCTACCAGGCCGCGGCAAAGGTGGCCGTGAAAAGGCGGCTGTGGGTATTACTGTTGAAAATGCCTGCCTTTTCTATTTATTTGTAATAGTCATACAGATTATATGAATGTTGTTTTTACTATCAGCTGTCTGTTTTAGTGTCCAATATTGTTCCTTGTCATGAAAACATTAATGAGAAATACATTTGATTATTTTATAGTTTAAATTCGTTTTTCGTCGTAGTTTTGCTTAGATTATCCCTAAACACCTCCACTTGGGAGAATAATTCAAGAGTTGGGAAATCTAGTCTACTACGTACACGGTAAGAACAATTTATACTGACGTATTTTTCTGTCTCAAGAGTATTGTTTCTTTGGTATATCTTTCGATCGAGTTCGTCCAGCTCTACAAATGGAATACGTGAAAGGTATAAAACCATTGAAAGGAGCAGAATATTGGCCGACGTGGAAAGATCGAGTGTTGGATGTTCTAGAGTTGTTCGACGCGGTTGATATCGTCGAGGGAAAAAGAGAAAAGCCTACCCTCTCTGAGCCTCCGACTAAAGCCGAAAAGGAAGAACTTGAGAAATTCAATAAATCCACGACTCAGGCAAAAATAGTTATTTCTCAGTGCGTTAGTGATGATCTACATCAACGTATTTCCGGAAGATTATCAGCTAAGGAAGCGTGGGACATTTTGATCGAGCAGTTCGATAACAAGGCAGAAGATCAGTTGTTTCGTCAGTGTTTGGATTTCTTCAGTATGGAATGGGATGATACCGAGGATGCCCCGACCGTGCTTTCAAGATTGAAGAATCAAAACCGCGAATTTGCAGCTGGCTTCAAAACGCGTAACATCCAAACGGTCGAAGATTTTCTTGAGCTCCTGTTTGTGTCAAAAGTGTTACACATTTTGCCGAAGCGTTTTGAATCGTTCAAGTCTAGCTACTTACTTGAAGGCAAATGAGAGCAAGAAACTTGAAGATGTTTCATCTGCATTGATCCTTCATGAGCGTAATGTTGCTCCTACTTCAAAAGCTGGTGACATTCTTAGTGCCACAAACAGCGGTGGTCAGAAGAATAGGAAACCAAAAGGTGACACTTTGTGCAAATACTGTTCGGGGAAAGGTCATTGGATTCGCCAGTGTTCTAAATGGAAAGCTGACGGCAAGCCTGCGTATCCAGCTCGAGCTAACGGCATTAGCACTAGTTCAAAAACGAGTGACACTGATAAGAAGAGAACGAAGGGCTCGCAAGTTAACGTGACCGACAACCGAAGTGCGCTGATTTCCATCAGCAGTGACACGAATATCGTGACCACGAACGACCAGTGGTGGATCGACAATGGCGCTACGCGGCACATTACGTCAAATCTGAGTTGGTTCACGGAGTACAAACCTTTTCCTGCAAACTCGAACGCAACAGTAAAGGCGGCGGGAAAGGAAGTTATAAAAGCTCTTGGCAGTGGAGTCGTTGAAGTAGCGAACTATGAAAATGGAAAACTGGAAACGTTCACACTCAACGATGTCTGGTATGTTCCTGACGTTTCTCGGAACTTAGTGTCCATTCTCGCAGCTCATGATCGAAACCCTAATAGCAGGTTTGAATCGACTAATACCGAGTGTCGGTTCACTATTAACGAACAAACTGTATTCAAAGGTACTCGAAACTGTGGTGGAACTTTGTATCGTGCCTCATTTCACACAGTTCAACCGTCTGAGGTTTGCGCTAATGCAGCAGAAGACAATCGAATTCTGCAGTTATATCATGAGCGCTGGGGTCACATGGATAAACGTTACGTCCGATCGAAGCTCGAATCCGAAATGGGTATCAAAGTGCCAGCCAACTTCGAGATCTGCGAACCGTGTCAGTTCGGAAAGGCACACCGTCTACAATTTGGAACACGACAACGCCCCTCAGCCCCCGGTGAGTTGTTATCTGGTGATGTTTGCGGCCCGTTTGACCCATCCTTCGGAGGTCACCGATACTTGATCGTCATAAAAGACCACTTTTCAAGGTACCGATACTGTTTTGTCGCAAGGG